TTTTGAAAGACCTTTCCCCAAACATATGTTGGAAGTATTTGATGCTCCTAACCAATAAATGTTTCAAAAAAGACCTCCAAATGATATGAGATTTTGAGCTTTTGAAAGGTCTTTTCCCCAAAATTCTTTGGATGTATTTAATGCTCTTAACCAGTACATGTTTCAAAAAGACCTCTGAGTGATATGAACTTTTGAGCTTTTGAAAGAACTTTCCCCAAAATATACTGGACGTATTTGATGCTCTTAACCAGGGGCGGACTGACCATTTGGAAACTCGGGCACTGCCCGAGGGCCCGGGGTCAGTAGGGGGCCCCATGAGATGCCCCTGGTACCTTTTTCATAGGCTTTTTTGAGCTTGGGCAAGGACACAGGGGCCCCATGATCCCCTATTGCCCGGGGGCCCCATGAGTTGTCAGTCCACCCCTGCTCTTTACTAATAAATGTTTCAAAAAGACCTCCGAATTATGTGAACTTTTGAACTTTTGGAAGACCTTTCCCCAAAATATGTTGGCTGTATTGGATGCTCTTAATCAATAAAAGTTACGAAAAGACCTCAAAAGTGATATAAACTTTTGTACTTTTGAAGGACCTTTCCCCTGAAATGTGTTGGATGTACTGTATTTGATGCTCTTAACCAATGAACGTTTCAAAACGATCTCTTTCTTTTTCTTTTATTTTTAAGACAAAAAGAGATCATTTACAGAAGTACACTTTTTTTTTTTTTTGCACTCGTAACAAACTGTAAATATTAGAAGCAGAGATTACATATACAGTCTAAAGAAAAGGACTGGCTTTGTTTAGATGAAGCTTTTACTACAGCAGCCCAGCTTCTATCAGCTATTGAAGCCAAGCCAGCTTTCAAAGGCACTTAAGGCAGGGAGAGCTTGCTATACTGGAGAGCTGAAAGAACAGGAAATAATGAAGCGGTATTTGTGTTATTCCCCAAATCAAAGCAAAATTTAAAGTATCAATAAAGAGGCACCCTGGGAAGCTCAACCTTATTAATAGTAAAGTGCTGACAGGCTGAATCAATTAGTTCTCCATTTTGTTTTCATTTGAAAATGTGAACAGGATAAGCTTTTACGACCAAGAGTCAAAGGAGAACGAGAAAAAAAAATGTTTTGCCTTTGCGGTTGGATGCTCTGTGTCATACTTAGAAGTATTCCTGTAAGCTAATATGCCACAAAAGGACAATAATAATAATTTGATTGCCAAAGCTCTTGAAACAGTATAACAAACCACAGCAGGTATGTATATCTGTTGCAAGCATGAACCTTTGTGTTGTCGAGGTCAGGGGCGGACTGACAACTCATGGGGGCCCCCGGGCAATAGGGGATCATGGGGCCTCTGTGTCCTTGCCCAAACTCAAAAAAGCCTATGAAAAAGGTACCAGGGGCATCTCATGGGGCCCCCTACTGACCCCGGGCCCTCGGGCAGTGCCCAAGTTTCCAAATGGTCAGTCTGCCCTTGGTCGAGGTACAATAGAATTCTAAAGAGTGTCTATGACACTTTTTACGAATTTCACTGATAATGTTTTTGGGGGTTTTAACTAATCTTCAGGTCTAAAATGTGCATTTTAGCATGTGTGGGCGAGACCACCTTGCCCTACATGGCGTACCTCTAGTGTGTACACGTATTCACCAATGCCTGGGACCAGGCAGGGTGTGCAAGCAACCATGTGCAGTAATTAAGAGTAAAGATTCCCTCTGTGAAGCATGCTGTCCCGTGGTACTACACACCTTCTCTGTGAGCTGTTGCATTTAGGAGTGACACCATTGAGCCTATGCCCTCTCCACCTGTCCAGTGTACCTCTGCCACCTCACTCCCAGTGTCAGAGTGGGGTCTCGCTGTGCACCTAGCGCGGACCTGACGTGTGCACTTGGCAACTCCTTCCACTCTCCCAAACAATGCAGCCAGGCTGTGGGCCTCTGTAACGCGGGTTCGGTACTGAACTAGCGCGGACCTCATGTGTGCACTTGGCAACTCCTTCCACGCTTCCAAACCATACATCCAGGCCGGGGGTCTCTGTAACGCGCAGGGGCGGACTGACCATTTGGAAACTCGGGCACTGCCCGAGGGCCTGGGGTCAGTAGGGGGCCCCATGAGATGCCCCTGGTACCTTTTTCATAGCCTTTTTTGAGTTTGGGCAAGGACACAGGGGCCCCATGATCTCCTATTGCCCGGGGGCCCCATGAGTTGTCAGTCCGCCCCTGGTAACGCGGGTTCTGTACTGAACTTTTGGGGAACTTGCCGCTGGGGAGGAAGTCAGAACAGCAACCCCCTTCTTACTGAATGACCCGTCGCCGCACCAGGTACCACTCTTCATGAGAGACTGCTAAACACCTTTCCCCAGTCTTTGGTTACCCATGGCAATTCCTCTACTCTTCCTGCCGAGCTAACCTATTGTAGTGGCTTTGCTTCCATACCCTATGTGTGCTTTATAGGCCCTGTTCTTTCATACTCCAGAAATCATCCTGCTTCAGACCAGGCTTTGGAACAGTTTTCAATCTTTACTAGAAAACTTTCATGGTGTTAAACGTACAAAACATGTTACAGCCCAAGCCCTGATTGACTAAAAAGAGGCTGCCCAGGCATACCTTAAAAGGTGACAGTCCAGCACTGCCATTCTCCAACAATTGGTAGTGTCCTCTGGAACTCCGGTATCTTTGTGAGACTACATGGTGCAGTGTCCTGTGCTTGCTTCCCATGTGGCTCTCCAAACTTAGAACCTTTTGAACTGCCCTCCAGGCTTACTTGGAACCAAATCTTCCCTCTATTTATATATATATGTCACAGTGTGGAGGGCATGTCCTAGAAAAAGCCCGGGAAGCAAGATCCTAGTAGTTAACCCCTTCCCCGCCTGGGCAGACAAACTAGCTAAACCAAATACAAAACTCCCTGTAGGCACCTGCCTACACGTGGGCAAAAACTGGCAGGGAAAGGGTACGTACCTTTATTCCAAATGTTTTCCATGCAGTCACAGTTTGCAATAGGAAAGCAGGGGGACTGGCAGCATCACAAGGGATTTCATAAAGGAAGCAATACAGAGAGAACAGGATAATTTGTAACATAAGTACATGGTACAGCAGACACATATCAGGAATATGAAATGTTGGGGGTAACATACACTTGAAAGAGTTATGAAGCTGGACTTGGGCTTTTATTATTTGTTCAGTATTTTGGTGATATTATTTGTAGACATTTTGGTGAAAATTCACATAAATATGGTTTAGTTCTTCTCAGGAAGTGTTGCTTAGAAACAGAGAACATACTACATACAGCCTCACTCATGGCCAAAAGCCAACTTGCACAGTATGTGGACATCAAGCAGGCAGACAGGCAGGAAGGCAACATCCAGCCTCTTCCACATATGGAATAGTATGTTTGCTGTCATTTAATTAGTGATCTCTCCAATGAATACCAAGATGATAACATAGAAGGTGAAAAATTTTAATTACTTAAAGAGGAACTTCACCCTTATTATCAAAATTACAACAAATTTACCTTAGAAATGTTTAATAATGACAATCTACAAACAGATACTTATATATAATTGCAGGCTTTTCATGCTTTCTATGCCTTTTTTTTCCTTTCCTCCCCATTTTTTTAATGGTGGCAATTTTTTAATGAATCCATCTCCCATTATGTAGCACCAGCTAATACAGTAGGCAGCGGTGTTTTCTGGGACTTCCTGTCTGCTGCTGTAACAAAACCAAGTCAGGCTGAATGCTTCTTAGCCATTCACAGGGTGCCTTGTATTTTTATTAATGATTGCCGGTGGTTGAGAAGTACATGATGTCTTGATCTCCACCTCAGCCAATCAGAGGAAACCTTTTATTCATTGATAAAAATACAAAGCTTCCTCTGAATTACTCAAGATCAACTCAATTTTGTTTTGTCAACATACAAGAGATCCCCATACAGCTGCTGGGACATTAGCTTTGCCCAAATAAACTATTTAAAGCCCTACCCTGGGCAAATAAAAAAAATATCACTTGTAGTGGGGCTGTGCCCACAGTACAAGGGTTAACTGCTCATTTATGTCTAGAGCCCTGGTGCCCAACCTATGGCCCGAGGGCCGCATATGGCCCTTTGGTATATGACGTGTGCTCCTCGGACAGTCTGTAGTGTGAACATTTATTAGGGTAATAGCATTGATCTCTACTAGCTTTGTGTAACATGTTTCCAGTTTTGTATTGTCTTCTGCAGCATATCCCAAGCCAAAATGTAGCATGTCCACACTCTCTGACCTTCATTTTGTTCCTTTATTAAGTCTGCATTTTCCAACAGTCCTCCCAAGCATTACAGATACTAAACATTATGTGTGGTCTTCTAAAGCAGTGGTCTCTTAACTGCAACCCACGGGCCAGATGTGGCCCTTTTGATTGACTTTATCTGGCCCTTGGGGCACTATTCCTTTTACTGATACAAGGCACTATTCTCCCCAGCAACACCATTGATGAGGCACTATTCCTTCTGATGACACCAACAGTGGATCATATTCCTTACACTGACACCAACAATAGAGAACTATCCCTCCCACCGACACTAAAGATGGGACGCTATTCCTCCCACTGATATCAATGATGGGGCATTATTCCTCCTCCTACTGACCATGGGTGCTATACATTTTATGTTACTCCCACTGACCACAAAGCCTTAGGCATTGTTTACTCCTACTGATGCTGGAGCATTTTCAAGCCCCATTGGCCACAGTCTGCCCCCTCAGGTCTTAAAGACAGTCAACTTTGTTCAGAAAGTTTGACCCCCTGGACTAGAGGAACAATAAAAAAGAAATATAACTATCTGATCCTCTCTGCAGCTAGACTAGTCCCCGCAGCCTCTGCACTCTAGTAGTCTAGTATCCTGATGTAATCAAGACCAGAGCATTGTCTGGTCTGGTGTGGAAAGAAATGTCATCCAGAGCCCTGTACTTGTGATGTTTAAATAGAACACCACCAGGGGCGGACTGACCATTTGGAAACTCGGGCACTGCCTGAGGGCCCGGGGTCAGTAGGGGGCCCGTGAGATGCCCCTGGTACCTTTTTCATAGGCTGTTTTGCGTTTGGGCAAGGACACAGGGGCCCCATGATCCCCTATTGCCCAGGGGCCCCATGAGTTGTCAGTCCGCCCCTGAACACCACTATCCAATCCTAAATCCGGGGGCTCATTGCCAGACTTGTTAGCTCACAGCTGGGAGAGGTGCAGTAAATGAGTTGCCAGATTTGTTTGTGCAGCTGACAATGAAGACTAGAAAGGGTGCAGTGGTGGCAAGTACCAGGAGATGGTGGAAGGCTGTGGCAGGTTTAGGAGCTTATACCACACTCCAAACAAGGTCCTTAATGAGGCACTTCCTGCTATGGGATGACTACTGTCTCCTGTGTTGCCTGTGATGGAAACTACAAACGTCCATGCCAACACACATTGCACAGGCATGTTCCATTGTTGTCATTATCAGGAAGCCAGTCCAGAGCAATGATGTACAACCAAAGTGAGTGCATGTAGACAGGTTGCTGAAAGCGGCTGAATGAGGCTTCCGGAGAGCAGCAGAAGTGAAATGTCAAAAAGGATGGAAAAAACAAAATGATAACAATATTTTATGAAAAAACATTTATGATATTGAGATGCAGCAAAGCATAAAAAACCCATAAAAACAGCTATTTTAATTTTTACAAAAAAGCAATTTTTGTTCATGTTACCTCTATAAAAGCCAATATAAATGTCAGCCCAACATAATTTATCCAGATCTAAGTTACTGGCTATAATAACAGTTCAAACACTGAGCATGATATGCTAAAATAAGGGCTGTCACTGAGTATTTTGTTGCAGAATTTGATCTAATCCATAAAAAAGTCATGAATGCTTACTTTTGCATGAATCAATCTTTCAAAAAACAAGATGGCTGCCTCAATCTGTATCCTTCAGCGTTTTGCCCTTGACTATGCTGCCCAGTGTCTGGAAGATTCTTACTCCAATGCTACAATGACTTTGTTAAAAAAAAAAAAAGCCAAATTTATGTACTCATTTCTTTCTATTTGCTTTTCAAATCAACAACCCACGGCTAAAAGCGCCCATAACTAATGATTCTGAGCGGTACGAGCAGTTCAGCATTGGCTCGGGCTTAGCACTTCGAGCTGCAGCTTGTGGCACTTTCCAATAGTTTTAATTGGGCCGTTCACTTAAAAAGGCTGCACACGACACATTTGTCAAGGTTTGTAATATGCAAAGTGACGGCTGATGAAGAGGGAAACATCATTACTCTTGGAACAGCTTAAGTAAGTAAACCATGCAGTGTCACAATAGCTGGGCAAAAAGAAGGAAAACACAAAAAGAAAATTTAAAATCAAAGCTGTAAAACAAAAACAAAATATTATATATATCATATATTAAATGAATTCTATGTTCCATCCATGGACACTGTCAACAAAGACTGTAGGCTACTACCTCCAGGAGCATACATGGTATTAACTGGGCTTGGATGGGCTTGCTGGATTACTGTTCTTTGAATATCACCTCCTTGATTATTTTTTAAGCGGATTTTTCCAATGAGTTACACTTTTTTTATTATGTTTGTTTTCCAGGGTTTATTATGCTTTATTTTCAACGTACTACAACAAACCAAATTTACGTCACAAGGACCTATAAAGTCTTTTAAGAAGATACTTTCAGGTATAGCACTTCCCCGTTAACAAAGGGTTATTTTTTGGTAGTTCAACATCAACAATATGGCACCTGGTAATTCATGACACAGGGACTTTTGTTTTTCAAAACAAGAGTAAAAATATATCCTATATATAGGGGTGAGTATAACCCCTACACACCCCTACCTCCTCAACACTTTTTGGTGACCCGACCATTAGATCATCCTTAACATTTAACCACCCCTCCACCAAGCCCTAGAACTTTGCTATTGCACTCATGGATACATCATTTGGGGCCCATTCACATTTCCATTTGTTGTGGCAATTCCCAATATAATGCATACATTGACACAGGTAGCCGCATCACATGGCTTTCTCAACCTTTTCAACACTTAGGAACCCTTGAAATAATTTTCTGGTCTCAGGGAACCCCTGATAAAAAAAAAAACTGTATCTACAACTCATGATACATCAGTGTGATGGGCAGTGTGAATAATGCTACTTAAAGCTATGGTCATTGAATTACCCCCTTACAGATAACTTATATTTCAATACTTATATAGAATTTTTCAGGGAAAAAAAAACAAGGGAATGAGACATTGTTCATTCATACCATAATGCAATAAAACATTGTACAGTTGAGCATTGTAGTTGTTATTCCACTCATTAGGCAATGATGAGGTTGGTCTCATTTAGAGATATCATCAGAAGTATTTTTATATATGATTAGATTATGGCTTACAGCTCATGAAAACCCACAATCTCAGAAAATGAGAAATCAATCAATAAAACAAGGATTGTACATAGAACAATATCGGACCTCTGAAAAGTATAAGCATGCATATGTACTCAGTACTTGGTTTGGGCCCCTTTTGCAGCAATTACTGCCTCAATGCGGCGTGGCATGGAAGCTATTAGCCTGTGGCACTGCTGAGGTGTTTTGGAAGACCAGGATGCTTCAATAGTGGCCTTCAGCTCTTCTGCATTGTTCGGTCTCATGTCTCTCATCTTTCTCTTGGCAATGCCCCATAGATTCTCTATGGGGTTCAGGTCAGGCGAGTTTGCTGGCCAATCAAGCACAGTAATCCCACGGTCATTGAACCAGGTTTTGATGCTTTTGGCAGTGTGGGCAGGTGCCAAGTCCTGCTGGAAAATGAAGTCAGCATCCCCATAAAGCTCGTCTGCGGAAGGAAGCTTGAAGTGCTCCAAAATCTCTTGGTAGACGGCTGCGTTGACCCTGGACTTAATGAAGCACAGTGGACCAACACCAGCAGATGACATCAACACAGACTGTGGAAACTTCACACTGGACTTCAAGCATCTTGCAGTGTGTGCCTCTCCATTCTTCCTCCATACTCTGAGTCCTTGGGCCTCTCCATTCTTTCTCCATATTCTGGGTCCTTGGGCCTCTCCATTCTTCCTCCGTACTCGGGGTCCTTGGTTTCCAAATGAGATGCAAAAGTTGCTCTCATCAGTAAAGAGGACTTTGGACCACTGAGCAACAGACCAGGTCTGTTTTTTTCTTTAGCCCAAGTAAGACGCTTCTAACGTTGTTTGTTGTTCAGGAGCGGCTTGACAAGAGGAATACAACATTTGAAGCCCATGTCCAGGATCCGTCCGTGTGTGGTGGCTCTTGATGCACTGACTCCAGCCTCAGTCCACTCCTTGTGAAAGTCCCCAACACTTTTGAATGGCCTTTTCCTGACAATCCTCTCCAGGCTGCGGTCATCCCTGTTGCTTGTGCACCTTTTTCTTCCACACTTTTCCCTTCCAGAAAACTTTCTATTAATGTGCTTTGATACAGCACTTTGGGAACATCCAACTTCTTTTGCAATTATCTTTTGAGGCTTTCCCTCCTTATGGAGGGTGTCAATGATGGTTTTCTGCACAACTGTCAGGTCAGCAGTCTTTCCCATGATTGTGATTCCTACTGAACCAGACCGAGAGACCATTTAAAGGCTCAGGAACCCTTTGCAGGTGTTATGGCTTAATCAGCTGATTAGAGTGGGACACTTTGAGCCGAGAATATTGCACCTTTTCACAATATTCTTATTTTCTGAGATTGTGGATTTGGGGTTTTCATGAGCTGTAAGCCATAATCATCACAATGATGACAAATCACAGCTTGAACTATCTTGCTTTGCATGTAATGAGTCTATCTCATATATTTGTTTCACCTTTTAAGTTGCTGCACTGAAATAAATGAACTTTTGCAGGATATTCTAATTTTTTGAATATTCTTAACTCAGAAAAGTATTTTCACCTCCAATCTCCAAACTCCCCTTTTTTTTGGCTGCTTCCTGTTAGAGGGTGGCTATATTCGTTCTCTATGACCCCATTATATGTAAGAACATAGCCATCCTCTCTTGCCCTCTCTTGAGATGGACGATGGAATTTGTAGTGTGCATAGAACACTGTACATGACCACAATTAATATGCACTGTTCCTTGCAAGAAATGGAAGTAAGGGGGAAAAGGAAAGACTTGGAAACTCATGGAAAATTTTACAAAAAGGCAAAAAGAAACAGTAAAAAAACATTATTGAAAAATAGATTACGGGGCCATTAGGTAGTGAATATGTATGGATTATTTCTGGAGAATAAGGATATCATTTAGTGTCCCTTTAAGGACAAGAAGTTTATTCAAACAACATGGGCAAGCCAGCAAGAGACAGTCACTTCTCCGGGAGAGATTCAGCACAGAAAGTTGTCATGGTGATGAATAAGAAGATTATTGCTTTCGCTTGACACTCCAATGCTAAACATAGAAATACAGAAGCAGGCTTCTAAAATTGCATCAGATCATTATGTAGTCAGATATTTCATTTCTTGCGATTTGTTAAGAAATGGATTTAGAGCAACCTGGGTCTCAAAATGGCCCAGTAAAGGACTATTAAATCACTTCATTGAAAAAGTACATTAAATTAAATTTGATAAAAAGTACATAATGGAAAGTTCTGATAATCTCCATGTACTATTCATGCAGCTGGCTGGAGTAAATATTCACTTCCTTTTTTAAAAAAGGGTTTTTCAACTTCGTGGTTTGTACTTCTATCTTTCGGACTAGTGTCACCGGTTTAAACCCCAACCGTGGAGTGTACATGTTCTCCTTGTGCTTGCACGGGTTTCCTCTAGGTACTCCTCCTTCCTTCCACCGGGGGGGGTGCTTTGTCCTGATGCCCCTGTGCTTGCCTCTAGGATAATATCTGGCCCCATGGTCCACCACAGCTACATGAGCACTCTCTCTTTCAATAGATGCTATGTTTATATATTATTATTATACAACATTTATATAGCGCCAACTGTTTGCGCAGCGCTTTACAAAATGAAGGTAGACATTACAGTTACAATACAATTTGGTACAAGAGGAAACAAAGGACTCGGCTCGTTAGAGCTCACAATCTAGGAGGAAGGGTTGAGTGATGCAAAAGGTAATAGCTGTGGGGGGATGAGCTGATGGAGGAAATAAATTGCAGTTTTTCTAGGTAGAAGCAGGATAGGCTTCTTTAAAGAGAAAGGTTTTCAGGGATAGCCTAAAGGTGGATAGATTAGGAAATAGCTTGGGGTA